TTTGGGTCGAGCGATAATTTTTCAATTTCGCGGGGTAAAAGTAGTAACAATTAAAATAAAATCCATTTCTTTATTAAATAATTCAGCATTTTGAAAAACTGTTAACAAGTAAGGAAGGCTCTGAACGAATCGAATTCCGAAAAACTTGATTCGATTCGGATTTCTAAATTTCTTTTAATATCATGTTAATAGGGTTTCTATTCTAATAAGGTTTGTCCGAATGATTTGTTTTTATTCGTTATGAATTTGAGTATTTGAACGAAATATATTGAACGTTTACTCGAATAAAACGAATAATTCGAATATGAATTTGCATTACGAATAGAAATTACACATATTGATATTAATAACGATGATAACGAATAAAAAGTAATTACACAATTCATTGTTTTAAATTTAAATAATAAATATAAAAATGATAAATAATTGCATTGTTGAAAGTGATGCCTCTTCAATTAATTGCTTCTTCAACAGGCATAGTGCAATATGTTCAAAGAAGGACAAAAAATAAAGTGTGGAACCATTTCACAATTGTAGATGGGTAAGCCAAATGCAATCATTGCACTATTCCCAAAAGGAAACTTTTAAATTCAAATTATTTCATATGGTATATATGCTTCGAACCAAGTCAAATCGAATCATTTATTATTATAGGTTCGGATTAAAGCACGATTTACATTCGAATCAAAAATTAGGCGGTTCGAATTTCATTGATTCGTTCAATATTTTAACAGGAATTCTCCAGTTTCAATAAACTCTGGGGTTTCACGATTATGCTAATTTGGTTTGTTCTTTCCCAATCAGCAATACTTATATACCCGAATATCAATTAAAGTGGAACTCTTGTTGATGAAAGAGCATCATGAATGATTTAAAAAGAGTAAATAAAGAAATCATATAATTAATTTTCTTTAATAAATATAATTTTTATAACCATCAAGGCTGGGTGACGAAAATATTTTGGAGTATAAAAAATATTAATATTTCGTCTAACGGGGCACATGTGACGAAAACGACAAAGGGAAAAATCAATTGTGATTTTTCTTTGGTCAGTTAGAACAATGCTTTCATAAAAGTTTGACAAAAAGAATTTGGGCATTTTGTTTTTTGTTTATTTCATCCAAATAAAAATGAGAAATAGAATAACGGCATCTGGGACATTCATCGGCTAAATGGGCCTCGAGTTTAAAGGTGTTCCACGATTCCAAGTTTTTGGACAATGCCAAATACGCCCTTTTTACTTTTCCGCACATCAGATGTCCTCGTGCTAATCTTGATTATTGTCAGATGTAAATTTAATGTGCGACCATCAAAAAATATTCTAGTTGGTAATAATAATACACAACATTGTATTAATAATGTTTGATATGGTTAAAACGATGGATTATTTGCAAAATATTCTAATTGGTAATAATAATATATAACATTGTATTAATAATGTTCGATATGGTTAAACGATGGATTATTTCAAAATATTCTAGTTGATATATATTATTAAAGTTCTAAATTAATTATAGTTTGAATTTTTTGTTTTATTAAATCTTAAAACTACTAAGATATATAATTTATAACCAGATGTCGAATGTTTTTTTTTTGACTAATGTGAACTACCAAGAAGATATATATTACTATATTGTTCTTATTATTAATATGGATATTATTATTATTAATATTGATTAACAATATTATTATTAATTATTATTATTTGTCATTATTATTAAATTATTATTGTTATTATTATTAATAATACAGATAATACAGTCAAACCGGACTATAATCAAATTCTCATATTCACATATTAATATTAATATCAATATTAATATAAAAATCCGTTGTGGGCAATATTTAGTATTAGTAATCTTGCCACAACGGGATTTTAAATAAATTTTCTTGTGTGTCCCCCGTTCATCCGCTGTGACCGTAATGTCATTATTAATAGTTCATCTGGTCCTGTGAATTCTTGTCACTCATGGATCAACCAACACGAATAACACCTCCCGTGAAACCCTGGTATGAGATTGATTTGGACAGTACTTACAAAGGGTACAAGGGCTCTTATAGTTTCGTTTATTGGCCGAAACCATTTTAAATTCTGTGAAAAGCTATTTTAATTAGCTATTGTTGCTATCGCTCACTGATTATATTTTTTTTGTTGTCTAATAGAACACATTGAGATATAAATTATTTTTTGATGATGATTTTTCTATTGTCTTCTTCCTTCTTACTATTGTTGTTATTATCCCATAATACTTTTGATGAGTTACGCGTCACATCTATGATCTTTGTAATATCATCAGCTTTATAGTAAAGTAGTGAATGTGATGAATGCAATATATAATAAATGCTTTATGAATAATGTGCAAACAGAACAAAGTATTAGTTATTAGTCGTGTGACATGTCCTGCAGATCAATATCAATTGATAATTCAGTAATTAATAATACAATCAACCCTCGCCACAGCGGAAGATGATCGGCGGGTAATTAAAATTACTACTTGTGGTTGTATTATTTTTAATAATTTCTTTTCAGTGATTTAAATGCTTTAAATTCTTTATAATCTAATTAACTTTATTATAAATCTTTAGAAAAAATGATCTTGTTTTGTTTACTGAAACTTGGAAAAGGTTGCTACTCGCAAACATTTGGACAACTATCAATTGTTTGTTTATTAATTTATTTAGTAAATTGGAAAATTTGTTGCTCGCAAACATTTGGACAAATAATCTATCAATTGTTTGTTTACTGAAACTTGGAAAAGGTTGCTACTCGCAAACATTTGGACAACTATCAATTGTTTGTTTATTGATTTGTTGATTTATTTTAGAAAATTTGCTACTCGTAAATCTTTGGATAAAATTTTTGTTTTATTGCTTATTTTTTAATACTGACCTTGATTAAAAATAATTTTTTATCAATTTTGGTAATTTGGATAATTTTATATGTCGCATGAATCCAACTAATAGCTATATTAATATGACAAACATTTTTAATTAATATTATAATTGATAGAAAAGAGGCAAGGAATCCGCTGTGGCATTGATACATAACTTCTTTGTCACATGATCTGTTTTGAAGCAAGTTGTTAATAAAACCGAAATAATCTCAGCCTTAAAGTCATAAATGTAGAAATTTGTTAACACGTCCAATCGCAAGCAAAGGTGAATTAAATATTTACAGAATCATGTTCACTTTGCTTCCTAATGTCATGCATGTCTTTATAGTATCATTTATTTTAAACAAATAAAATAAATATTAATATGCGATATTAAATTTTATTTATATGAAAAAAAATAATTAACATATACACTCTATCAAATTTAAATTGTGTTAGGAATGTTGTCCTCGTATTAGTATTGTATGTTCCTTGTTGTCGATAAAATGGAGATCATGCGTTGAAGGAGGGGCAAATCCCAGTGCCATTGCAAATATGGAAAGCCCTCTAGGGGTTTGATATGTTGGTTACCCCGGCGCCAGAAACATCTATTCCGTAAAATACTGAGTGACAATCTTAATGGCTATGACCATAGTATTTGCAAGAAAAGCAACCGTGTTGGTTGACCCACGTGAATTTGATAATGATATACAAACACCAGTTGCCGTGAATGGTATTGTTGATGATGATGATTTTGTTGTTGTTGTTGTTGATAGTGATGGGAATCGCGTTGGTGATGTTGGTGGTGGTAGTGGTGATGTTATTGCTGAGGTTGCTACTGATGTGATGACAAACTTCTTTTATTATTATATGGATTATACCTATTATTATGGAAGAGGTTGTGGATATGTTACCTCAACCACACCTTCTGCCGTGTTGGCCATTGTTTGGAATAGTCTCATTATTGAATTCGGAGGGAACATTAGTTTCCTCATTATTTATTTATCATCGTTGTTATTACTATTTTGTTATTATTGTTGTTGTCGAATCAAATTTCAACCCTATTTCGACCAGATCTGCAAATGATGAAATTGTATATAGATGTTGAAAATATCAAAAAAAAAAAATTTTTCATTTAAACGGTTCATTTGCTTCCAAAGCACAATTTTCTTTACACATATCAGCCAATTTGGTTTTTTGAACCCTTTTTTCAAACCTTATATCTTATTGTGTCTTGACGTTAAACGCGAATATTTTTAATGTGTAAACTGGTAAAGTAGGATGATAATTAACCCTAAAAAAATTTATTTGCTCCGCTAAAAAAACTACGGAATTGTAAGCATAATGCTTCAAGTATTAACGCCAAAAACGTCCGGAAATTAGCCCAAGCTCATGCGCAATTTAAGCAAAGCATGTACAGAAGCATTAAGAATTTTTACTATTCAACAGCCCGTCAAATCATCAAAACCAATGGGTTTTTGCTAGTATAAAGTATTCATACCGTATATACTGAATTTTTACGGTTCAAACGAAATCAGCGCATATGAAAATGCTTTTGTCATTACAACACACAAAACACAGAGTCTAAGCCTTCCATCAATTTAAGTCTCGCTGGATTATCAAATGTTCCATACGTTACTCCACAAGTAGGTGTACTTTTTGGGGAAATCTTCATTAAATAAAAATAGATGGGTCAATCAATGATCAAAGGAAGATATGCCATTATCAATACCCTCCTTTATCCCATTTATTTATAAATGAATCTAAAAATTATGGCAGTGATATTATAAATCTCTTTCACAGGGCGACTTTGTCATCTTATCACGGATCATATATTCTGTTTAGTCATTAAAAAATCAATTGAAATTTCAACATCAAATAAACAAATTTTTGTCAAAAAATTAATATATTTAAATATTTAATGAAAATAAAATTTTATACATAAATATCGTACAATGTTGACGACAAATGAAAATTAAAAAAATAAAAACATTGGCTTTGTGTTGCCATAACCTGATATATTATAATATATATTATATGTAGAAAAAATTAAAAATAGAAAATAGAAATAATAGCAAAGTATTCTGAAAAACGCAGAAAATTATTTAAATAATAATAATTATTATATTAAGATCTACTGATTAAACGTTCATGAGCTTCAGCCAATTGTTGTTCCAACATTCTTATCCTTGTATCTTTTTCCATATTTTTATGTTCTAAACCTTTCTTCTCGCTTTCCATAACAGCGATTTTTGTATTTAGTTCACTGTTTTCATTTTTCAGATCAGACACTTGATTCTCTAGTGATTCCATCTTCATCACTTTACGGAGTCGACTTCTTCTAGCTGCATCAGTATTTTTTGCTCTCTTAACAGCTAATTCTTCAGCAATCATTTCAGGATCTTTGCCTATTTCTTCTGATGATCTTTTACGACCACTGTTACTACTACTACTATTACTGTTATTATTGTTGTTGTTGTTGTTGTTGTTGTTTTTACTACTATTATTAAATGAAGAAGAAGAAGCGGTCGCGGGTGATGATGTTAAACTACTGTTTGTAGTACTTGTAGAAGTATTATTGGCATTATTATTATTAATAAAGAAGTCAGAAATAAAATCTTCTGTGTTATTTGTTGTATCGGCCCATGGAATATTAAGAGCCGGTGATGATGATAAAGATGATGTTTTTGAATTAGTGGTAGAATTAGAGGAATTATTTATAGTTGTGGATGTAATAGCGTCGTCATCTACAGGAATTGTTACTGAAGGAATGTCTGTGGTTGTTGTTAATTGTAACAATGGTTGTTGTTGATCATCTGCCATGTTGATAGGACGAATAAGGTCAGGGAAAAAACTTAAAGCAGGCTCAAGATTAGGACTTGTGTTAAAGGAAGTAGAATTGATTGATCCAACCAATGGTGAATCGAAGTAGCTAATAGGTGAAGGGATTAATGATGGAGTGGTTGTTATTGAAGAATTCATAAGTGGTGAAATATCATAATTGTTATTATGGTTGTTAATAATATTCGTGGTTTTTGATAACTCTTCTCCGACAACAAGATAGTTTGCAAGTTCCCAATAATCAAAGGCTGTAGCATCAATACCATCACCGCTACCACCATCACCAATACCTTGTTGGAAACTCATAATAATATTGTTATTTTCATTCACTGTTATATTATTCATCATCTTGTCACTATTACTGTTAACGCTACTATTTTTACCGCTGTTATTTCCAAGTGTTGACTTAATTTGTTCCATATTTGGAATAATTCCTGGTGATTGATTGATTGATTGATTGATTGATTGATTTAATAAAAAAAGAAGATATATAGTATATAAAAGTAAAAATAAACTAATTAGAAAAAAATTAAAAATTCAAGTAAATAATATATATTTCAATCCTCCTTAATCTTGATTAAAAAAATAAAATTTAATAGTAATATTATTATTAAAGAAGTGAGGAGGGGTTTAATAAAAAAATTTTGTTAGTGTTCAACGAAAAGGTATTGTATTTCGTATATGAAAAAACTGTTGTTGTGAATCATTTTGTTGAGGATAATTGTTACACGCAACCATTTTGGAAGCAAAAAAAAAGTAATTTTTTAAAAAACGTTGTTTTTATAAAAAAAATTTGTAAAGAAAAAAAAAGAGTTAAAAAAAACCGTTTTTTTTTAAAAAATTGGATTAAGATAAATTTTTATACAAGTTTATCAAAGCAATTGGCTTCGAGACAAAAATTTAGGCAAGGAAGAAAGCCATTATAGCTAAATTGTAAAAATAAAATTTGGAGTTAAAAAAAATAGTTAAATAATTAAAATAATTAATTAAAATAATAATAATAACGAGTTATCTAAAATCTTTATTAAATATAATAATAATTAATTAATTATACTACAATTATTATTGAAGTTATTAAAGTATTAGAGATTGGGGGGTTTTTTTTTTTGTATAAAAAAAATTGGTGAATTGAATTTTTTTTTTATATATTTGTAAAGAAGAAAAAAATTTTTTTTTTGAAAAAAATAAAATGGGAAAAATAGGTTGGTTATATGAACATTTTTAACATTTTTGCAATTCGGAAAATGATTGGATGAACACAATATTTTTATTTTAAAAAAAATGTTGGTACAACATATTTTTATTTTTGTATGATAAAAACTTTCCAATCTTGGAGTTTTTTTAGTTGTTGCTCATAGTAGTAATGTATAACTTAATTTGGCAAATAATAATGTAATAAGCCATTTTTCATATGCAATTTTTACATTTCTTCCCCTAATTTTTCGATTAATAATTTTTACAAGCATTTTGCATTTTGCATTTCTTTGATTGTAATACCACTAATAAATACAATTATTAACAAGAAAACCCAAAAAAAGAAAAACCTCGGTTTCATGTTCAACATAATTACGAAAAATCGCATTTATATTATAATAATAATTGCTTTAAATTATTTCATCAATGCTTTTTTTATTCTTTCAAGAGTAATAATAATAATAAATAAATAAATAAAGATTTCTAAAAATACTTATTATTATTATTATTATGTTGATCCAAATAAAAAAAAGTTTTCCATCAAGATCTACTGAAATTGTGACCATATTTGAAAATGAAAAATTACATCAAATGTTCACCTAATTTTAAAAAATATTTCGATCAAGTTACTGACAATAATTACTACGGCTTTTTTTTAAAGAAAAACTTCATTACGTTTAATAAAAAAATGTCTAACGGTACTTGGGCTTATCCTAAAGTAAGACGTGATGAAAGTGTTGTTGAAGAATTACATGGCATCAAGGTCGCTGATCCTTACCGTTGGTTAGAAGACCCCGATTCCGAAGAGACAAAGGTATAGAAAACATTAATTTGGAATTTAAAAAAATGTAAATAAATGACGTTTTATTATTTTATACTTTAAAAAAGTCGTTCGTGAATTCCCAAAATGCACTTACCTTCAAGTACCTCGAGTCATTTCCTCATCGTGAAAAATTCCGTGAATCGTAAGCATAAATAAATAAATCATATTATTATCATATAAATACCTGATTAACTAATCCATCACGCATATATAAATATATATAGTCTGACAAAAATGTATGATTATGAAAAACATGGAACTCCTTTTAAATATGGAAATAATTATTATTACTTTTACAATAGTGGCTTGCAACCTCAATCGTAAATTTATTACTTATTTTGGTGCCTTTTCTTTTTGATTTCTTATTAATAAATTCTTTATATTCTAATCTTTCTTATTATTCTTTTAGAGTTTTGTATCAATTGAAGAATTCATTAGACGCTCCACGTGTAGAATTCTTCAATGTTAGTTAGTATCTTCTAATAATAATGACAATAATCGTAATCATAACCATTGTGATTAATAGACTCTGTTTGTTTTGTTTTTCTTTTAAGCCAAATACTCTTGAAGCTGATGGCACAGCAGCTCTTTATACTTACCAATTTTCTGAACATGGAAAATATTTTGGCTATGGAATTTCAAAATCTGGTATTTATATTATTGTCATTTAGATATTACATATATGCATGTATTGTGTGTGTGTGTGTGTGTGTGTGTGTATATATACACACCTTTTGTTAATTTGAATATATAATTTAGGAAGTGACTGGCAAACTTTTTATGTAAAGTCAACATCAAATGATGATGTTAACGATCGATTAGATGATGTTGTTGAATGGGTTAAATATTTTGGTTTTGGCTGGACTCATGATGAGGCTGGATTTCTTTACACTGTAAGTAGTTATTATTCCATTTTTTGTTGTTTTTATTAATTATCGAATAATTGATTACTGAATTGAATTTTATTAGAGATACCCTGAACCTAATAGGAGTGGTGATGATAAAGGCACAGAAACTGACAAAAATTTTAATTCCATGGTAATTACATCAGAATCATCAATATTTATAAAATATCCTTCTATTAAAATAATAATAATAACATCTATTTTTAAAAAGTTATATTATCACAAATTAGGAACTAAGCAATCAGAAGATATTCTTATTTATAAGGATCCTAAAAATCCTGAACATATCTTTACTGCTGAGATTAGCAGTGATGGAAGATATGTGCTTATATATGTAGCAAAAGATTGTGAACCTGTTAACAAATTATGGTTAGTTGACTTGGAGAAAACTAATATGGAAATTAAGAGTGGGTAGAGATTAATCATTAATTATAAATTATCGATTTAAATCACTCATATATCAGGTCGAGTGCATAGCCATAATGAGACGCTTGACTAAACGCTATTAGTCGTTTATTCAAGACATTTGTTGCTAAGTTGGGATTTTACCTTTTATGCCAACAGTCCTGATATCTATACAATTTATTTATAAATAATAATTTTATTCAAAAAAAATTTTTTGAATCTAGATAATTTTGAAATTATAAAATTTATTGATAGTTTCGAAGCTCGATATTCTTAGTAAGTAAAAATATTATTTTGTGATATTCAAGAACTAAATTATTAAATATTATTATTCCTAATTTTGTAGTATAACTAATAAAGGCACGACATTTTATTTTCATACCAATTCAAATGCACCTCTCTATAAGATTGTGAAATATGATTTAGATAAACCTGAAAAGGTAATATGATCATTTTCAAAAATAGATCGATTAATTAATTGAAGGTTTTAAATTTTTAATATTTTTTCTCTAATTTGATATAATATACATATAGGGATTTGTTGATGTGATTAAAGAACATTCTACTGATGTTTTAGTCTGCGCTTTAGTAGCCGATAAAACTAATCTTGTAATTATTTATATGCATGACGTTAAGGAAAAAATATCAATATATGAACTTTTAACAGGGAAATTCATTAAAGATTTGCCTATTCCAATTGGAACTGTGAATGGTATTAAAGGAGATGAAAAAAGATCGGAATTATTTTTTAAAGTTGGAAGTTTCTTGAACCCGGGAATAATTTATCGTTATGATTTTAGTAATGACGGATTTTCAATTTATAAAGAAACTCAAGTTCAAGGTTTGGATAGTGAGAAATTTGAAGCAAGACAAGTTTTTGTTGAGAGTAAGGATAAGACTAAAATACCCGCTTTTATTGTTTCTCTAAAGGTAATGATGATAATGATGATAATGATGATGTTATGGCTTTAAAAAACTTTTAATTATAAAATGTTTTATATTCTTCATATATATTTAGAACTTGAATTACAATGGTAATAATCCTACATTACTTTATGGATATGGTGGTTTCAACAAAAGTATTACACCATCTTTCAGTGTTTCATGGTTGAATTTTATTCAACATTATAGTGGTGTTATAGTTGTGGCAAACATTCGTGGTGGTAGTGAATATGGTGAAGAATGGCATCAAGGCGGAATGTTACATAATAAACAGAATTCGTTTGATGATTTTCAGGTTATTTATTTTATAATAAAATTTATTTGATTTGTGCAATTTTACTTACACGCGTGTGTTTTTTTTTGTTATTGTTTTGAATAGTATATAGCTAAATGGTTGATTGATAATAAAATCACCAAACCACAAAAACTGGCTATAAATGGAGGTTCTAATGGTGGATTATTGATTGGTGCATGTGTAAATCAGGTTAATAAATTTTTTTTAAAAAAAAAAAAAAGCTTGATATTTTATTCTAATTTAATTTAATTAAAATAAATATACAGAAACCTGAACTTTTTGGTGCAGCAGTAGCTGACGTTGGATTAATGGATATGTTACGATATCATAAATTTACAATTGGTTATAGTTGGAAAAGTGATTATGGTGATCCAGATGTAAAAGAAGATTTTGAATATTTGTACAAGTAATGATTAATAGTTGTTTTTGTTTTTTCTTTTGATAAAAAATATAGAAAATATATTTACATATATATTTTTTTTTATAGATATTCACCACTTCACAACGTACAATCTGCTAAACCATACCCTGCCATTTTATTAACCACTTCAGATCATGACGACAGAGTGTAATTATTATTAATAAAATTATTGTTATTTAAATATTGAAATTTAAAAAATAACGGTTTTTACTTTATAATAAATAGGGTACCGTTACATTCTTATAAATTCATTGCTGAATTACAACACACTGCTAAAAATAATCCCAAACCTTTAATGACTAGAATTGACGTGAAGGTAAAAAAAAAAAAAAAAAACTATTTTTATTTTAATAAAGAATTGTCATTTTTTTTCAACTGATTTATATTTTTATAGGCCGGGCATGGTGCTGGTAAACCTACTCAAAAAAGAGTAAGTATATTTCATTATTGATTTTAAAATATTTATATTTAGAGAATCTACTTTAAAATAAATATTTTTTTGCTGTCAATAGATCGATGAATATGTTGATAAATTCTCCTTTATAGGTTTATCACTCAATCTTGAATGGGTAGATTAATTCTAATAAACTTAATAGATATTAATTTAAATTAAACTTTAAATAAATTTGATTATGGCAGAAATATTTTCTGCGCATAAATAAGGAGTATTTAAATCTATTTGTTTGATTATGCCATTTTTTTATTTTTTTTATTGTTAACAAACATTCTTTGGATTGTAATGCTCACATGTATCTCGCAATCTATTATTATTAACATATGTTGTTAATCAATAGTTATTTTAATAATATCGGTTTTTTTTTTGGTTTGGGATATAAAGTTTCCTTGTTCAGAAGAATTGCTTGTAACAGAATCCAGTGATGGATAATGACCAGATCATGTCCTAATTTCTAAATGACCTTTTCACCAATAAAATATTTGTGAAAACACTGAATTAGAAGAAATTGCTGCAAGAGGTGAATATTAAGACTAAGCGACCAACATCAAGTCACTCCAAACGAATACCTTTTATGGTAAAACGGTGGGAGTCGTGCATTGTGTGCATTGTGTATCTACTTGCAATTTTAATTTAATAGAATGCCATGACAAGATTACGCCATCGAAAAAAAATTTTTGAATAGACTAAGGATGCATTACAAAAGTTATTATAAAATCGCATGACAATGATTCCCACGTGATTTTTATAATGCCTTCACCAAGTGTCATTATAATATGAAACTTCGAGGTGAGTTTTCAAGTTGTGATTTAAGCATTTACTTCCAATATAATCTTGATCCTGTGATATTGCTATCCTCCTTCATTATCTTCATTTTTGTAATCATCATATTTGTGATCCAACAATAACAATGTTATACCAAGTGTCACCCATAGTAATGGATTAGCGTTATTATTACGATACCTTATCCGTTAATTATCGTAATAGTGATAGTGATAGTAATATTAACGTTATATTATAATAATGAACAATAATAATGCATTCATTTTAAAAACAATACTTCAAGGTGTTGATGTTTAAATCTATCAATTATTTTCCTATATTATTCTGTTTAAAATATTTGCTTTTTTTTCACCGAGAAACATGACTAGTTTGTCTTCAAATGAACATTAAAATAAACAAAAAACAAAAACCGAACAGACAAAAGCATAGTTGGACATGGACTTACTTCAAAAGTGATAATAACGATTAAGGAGAACTAGTAAAAATTTGTTTGGTCTTGAATGAAGCTGGTAAAGAATGTGGTGCTGTTTTTGCTGACGATGGCTCTACTGGAAATCAAATAAATTTTCAGCAACTGGAACCTTTGCATTTGTTCAACATCAAAATTCTTGTCAGGTTCTGTTTTTCCCACATGCAACTTTATATCTCCCGATAATTTGTTCCTATCATTCACCCATTCTGCACCCAATAAATGCCAAGCGTAAAGCCTAAAAAGAAACATGTTGGCGTCCAAATCTTCAGCATCATCTGGATCTGGATTGATCTTGAGTTCTGGACCTGCAATAAGATTTAGTATGGAAAACGAACAGATTTATGGAGGCAATAGAGGGTCATGATTTTTGTCTGATTTCTTTTGCAATCTTTGGTGATGTTCGTGCCACATTTACTGTATTCCTTGCAGATCATTAATAAAATCATATGACTACACTATGCCCTTAAATACTTGCTATATAGTGTTGATTGGCGTAAATTAAAACCGGTTACGTAGTAGGTTAGATGCTTGAAAAAAAAATTTTTAAAAGCCTCCTCCTTCTTTACCCCTTACGCGTGTTACAACATTCCCCCACTGAAAGAAGAAAATGATAATTATTATTATCCTGCACCAGACGTGTTGAGATAACTGGCCTGAAAATTGTCATCAAATATTTTATATGGCGGATTTATGAAAGTAAAAAGACAAACAAACAATATGGGACCATAAAAGCAGATCTTATTTTTCAATTTTAGATTATGGTCGATTTGCATTGCTTGCAGCACAAGAAATTAGTCGGCCAATGACGGTATTGTTAATCAAGGATGATAATAGAAAGTAGAACGTATCTTATCAAAGAGAAAAATCATGGATCAATAAACTTTGAACATTTACTTTGATTAAATCATTTCATGGTTCAAACTATTAAAATTTTTAGATTATTCAAATGGATTGATTGATACATACAATCTTCGAGTTCTGGATATGATACAATGGAAAATTTATAGTGGTACAGAGGGTTCTGGATTTTTATTGAAATTGAATTCTGGCTCTTTGAAATAATAGCAATATATAATATGAATGAATATCAAATATACTGGAGTTTCTCCTATGATTAATTTTTTTTTTTTGTTTCAAACGGTCACAAATTAAGTTTTTTGTGGGGAGTTTTAGTCATAATGAGGCAGATGATCCCTGCATTAAGAGAAAAATCTTTGTAGTTATGATTATTTTATTTTCCTAATTTGGTTTTTCTTTTTTTTTAAATTTACATTAACAATAATTATTTTTAATATTATCATTTATTTAATAAGCTTTCTACTCCCAACTGCTTTACCAGTATTTGATACTTGAGATACTGGAATTAATTGGTCAAAAAATTCCCTAGTTGGCTGTTTGTTGAGTTTTTTAGCCAACTAATATTAATAGTCTCCAGGTTTAAGACATCTGTATGCAAACAACTCAGTCCTTATATGCTTTATATGATAGGCAAGATGATAGATTAATTCATTACAATTTTTTCTTAATAAATCTTAATTCAATAATAAAATTTAGTATGTTCATAGCAGAATTGGGAGTAATATATTGAAATCTTCATGATCAAAACCATCATTGGATGAATTGTCATTGAAGATTAGAAAAATGGTTATAGGTAGGGGTTGTCAAATTTGCCCACATTATTCTAGCTTCTTGGCTTTGAAGATACAAACAAATTTTCTAATTCTCAAATTAAATAAACAGGGTTGAGCAAAAAGTAGATAGATTATTGGTACAGCAATTGCCAGGAGATTTGATTGATTCCACTGGCAGAGATCATTGTCCCTGCCGTGAGGATAACAATTGGGATTGCATAGGTTAAATCTGACACCTAAGCTCAATATGTCGGATTTAGTATTATCCATTTTATTTTTTTGGAAATGAAGTTTAGAAGACTCTGTGATATGTTTGAGATTCAACCAACTAAAACTTTTCCACCACCACATGGGTAATGTAAATTATTTATTTATTTATTAAAAAAGGAATATATGTCAAATTACAATATCAGATGCTCATATTGTTTAATTATACAAATCAGTCAACAAAGGTAAACTCGAACCAGTAATTTGATATGAATTAATGAAAACAGATGGCACAAGGGGAACTTGGGCCCTTTCAAAAATTTTCCAAGAAACAGTAGCAATGACAAAAAATATTAATAATGAAGAATAATTTTTGAAAAGAAGGTAAGGAGTGGTAGTTTTGCAATTTACCTTCCTTTGGGTGAAAATGAGTGGACCACTGCAAGAGGACATCTCAGAATTGCAAATAAATCATCTTGTTGTGCCCTTTAGAGAAGAAAATCTTATTTGCAAAAAAGCAAGAGAAATATATAAAAGTATTTAACAAGTTGAATGATCCTGACAAACATATGCAAAAGTAGACAATAACCCAAAATTTGAGAACAGCTCAATACTTACCTAATCTATACTTTTGGACTAATTACCCCAATTATCTTATTATTGTATGGAGGAGAAACAAGATATTAAAATCAGATTATATGATATATGCCCTGAAATCTGTCTCAGTATGCTACCCGAATAACAAAGATATTATTTTGATAAAATTTATAAAATATTAGTACAATATTAGAAATTATAGTTTAATTTTTTCCTAAACCCTTATTAATTAAGGAATTAGGTTTTTAATTTACCATCAACAATTATTGGTAAAGTAATAGAAAGTGCCAGCATTCTCAAAAAATATTTTCTGCGCATCCCAAAATCCCATAATTGTTGTAATTGGAAAGAAATGGTCGTAGGGAAGGCTAAAAAAAAATAAAAGTATTAGTGATGACTAGCAATAATAATATATGAGAGTCGTAATTCGTCATCCGATCTTGGCATAAGTTTAACCAGGTAATTATTTGGAAAAATTATTTTATTTTCTCCTTAAAAAATTGGTTAAACATAAAAAGAAAGATGAGGTCAAAATGACACTCTGGTATATATAATTAATTCATTTTAAAATAGATCTATATAAATATAAATATAAATAAATATATATATTTATATAATTTCTAAAAAAGGTATCAAAAATAAATCCAAGGTATTTTAGTAAAGTTTTTTCATTATTTTCAAAAAATAAAAAATAAAAAATAAATGGCACAGAATTATAATGAATGTAGACAGTTTCTTGAGGAAACTTCAAGCATCGAAAATAGTATAAACACAATTCAAAGGAACGTTGAACGTATTCAAGTAATACAAACACGTATTCTAGTGAGTACTTCGGCACAACTGGAAGATGATGGCGTTCAAGAGCGTGAAGAGCTTACGTTGAATACAAAAAAACTTCTTTTTGAAACTAAAGATTGGATTAAAAAAATTGAATATGAAAATATCAAATTACCAATAAATGATCCAAACAACAGCATTAGAAAACAAAGGCTCGAGTTTCTCAAAGCAAAATTCACAAATGCACTTGAAAATTTTCATAGTGTTGAAGATACTTATATGAGACAACGGAAAGAAAGAATGACACGTCAATACAGAGTTGTCAATCCAGAAGCATCTCAAGATGAAATTGACAATTATTTGAGCAATCCATCATGTCAGCCGCTTTGTCTAATTCGTACAAGTGAAGCTCGTGCAGTATTTACAGAAGTTCAAAAACGACATAATGATATAAAACAGATTGAAAAAACAGTTGAGGAATTAGCAATTTTGTTTCGTGAAGTGCAATTACAAGTGGAGGAACAAGATTCTATGATTTTAAATGTAGAAGTACCTGTTGAAGAATCTCTTGCGAATACCAAACAAAGTAAATATTATTATACTATTGATCAACCATGTCTGATGTGTAACTACTAAACCTTAAAAAAATTCGAATTTAAAAATTTTTTAGGTGAAATTTATATTGAAAAGGCACATGAGAGTGCAGTCCAAGCAAGAGGAAAGACGTGGATCTTTTTAGTGGTTATGATTATAATAGTTTCTATAATCTTAATAACTATAATAGTACAAATATATGGTAAAGTAAATAGTACACAGATTTCTGACGCAAGTCCTTCTGGCTTATTACCTCCTGATCCTTAATAAATCAGATTGTCACGTTGCATGTATAATGATTGTAATAATTGATTTATTATTCTTGTTAACCATTTGACTGTATAAAATTTTCCTATTCTTCCTTTTGTTTTTTTTTTTTTTTTTTTTTTAATAAATCCTTACGTTTCAAGCATTAAACTTCTTTTGCGATCTTGAGAGCAGGTCTCAGTGGCATTCCAGCCAGACAGAATCTTCACAATCAAAGGAAAAAGACGGAGCCATTAACTTTGAGAATATTTGCATGCTTTGTTGTATTTTAAGGTGTTTGATGACTTGATCTTTGTCCTAGCCTTGAATTTCTTGTATAAATGGTGTCGGAAGTTCATTGCATAGTAGATCACTAAGCGAAAATTTATCACTAGACGCGTGTAATTTTTTAGCATAGAAATGTTACACAGAACCCATTTCTCCTGAACTTCACCAATATTTAATATATAGTTGTTACCTCTCTAAATTGGAGATCAAAGTTCAGATCCAATTCAAATCCAGTTTATCACTTACTTTTTATTGCCAGAATGTTTACCATGTATTTGTTACATTGCACAATATAAAAAATTAGTGTAACATTTCGATCTCCACTACTATGCTTAATTTTTTGTGTTTTTTAAGGGATATGACGTTTTCTTTGGATAAAAATAGTTTATTCTATTGATACCAACAAGTTTGGTCTGGTCATCCTCAATTAGTTGTGGGTTGCAACATATTAATATGAAAATGGAATTGCGGCTAATTGCGGTTCACATCTTTAGTCTGGTCCATTCACTCATTGCATTAATAAAACACTAAATATGGCTACACCAATGAATTATATCACGACCAACTCTTCCTTGGTAAAAAGTTTATTTTTAAACCAATTGTACTACACAAAAAACCTCCTAATAAATCATTGTTCCGAAATAGTTAAAGAACCAGTTTTTCCCGGTTTATTTTTGTAACCAGATCCGAACCTGTGTATAATAATTATTCTTTTTTTCGAGTTCCAACTATGATTTTTTTCTCCTAAATACTAATAACAATTATCGATTGATAAATTGTTTCTTTTATTAGCAGAGAGAGAGATTAATCCCATGTCTCCATATAGTTAAAGCACATAAATTTTAGTTTACAAAGTTATATTTATTCTTGTATGATTAATAAGCGCCTTAAAATAAAAAGTCGTATTTTAATAATGATAAAAAATATAAGGTTTTAGAAGAAATATTCTATATACAAAAAAAAATTTCTTTTCCAAATAAAAAAAAGTGTGTAATATGTACAAAGCTACCAACGAAAGGGTGTATTATTAATATCCACTTTGTCTGGTTTTGTTACAAGTTGCTCCAGTTAGTAAAGGGATTTCTTTCCCTTGTGTAGTAAAAGATGTAACCAGTAATCTCTTGATTATTTAAAAAAAGGCACTTGTTATAAAATATATTATGGAAAAACCGTCGATTTTCACCTTTAATTGGGGATCAAAAATCTGGATGTTCGTTCAGCTGTTTGGATTTTAACTAAAAAAATGCATTTTTTATACATTTCTCCCTCACCTGGAGATTAATATCAAAGGTTAGGCATTAGAAGTTGTTAGATATTATTATTCTTGAAGTTAAATAAAGATCTGCAAAATTCCATATTAATACAACAGACCCCTATTCTTGATACCGATCGATGATGATGACGATATTTGAATTTAAACAATTAAACAAAGGGGATATTTTTATTTATTATATTAATTAAAGTGATTCCAAACGATATAAGGAATCGTTCATTTCAATGCAAGAATCAAGGAAGAGACAACAACTGCAACATATTTGGAATAGTCCAAGATTAGAATATCAAAAGAAATTAGTATACGAATATGTATATGAAAAACGTATTTAATATTGAAGGGCAACGGTATCAAAAACAACAAATACAAGATTTATTTATAAAAAAAGTCGCCATTCGTCTTTCAAAAGCATTTTGTAAAAAAAAAAATTCCAAATTAGTTCTTGAACTTGAGTTTGTTAGATCAGTAATAAAAATATGGTAGCTATTTAGATTGGATCAAGATGTTAATTTGTGGAATGCAAATACAAGAGAGATTAGATGACTTTCTAATAATAATGATGATAACAATAGAAATAACGATTGAAAATATATTTCCGGTCTTCATTGGAGATCAGTTAACTGTTGGATTGAGCAATGGCGATACCAAATATGGGATATGTTGAGTGTATAAAAGATTAGAATTAATGAGTAGAAATATTGTTCGTCTAGAATGAGAAAATTGTTGCTTCTGGATGTAAGAATTGTAGGATTTGGAAGAATGATATTAGAATTGCTAGATATAAATTTGCAGGATTGCTTGAAGTGATGGTGAACAGTTTGCTGGACAATTGTTGCAAATGAATATTCGGAATGCAAGATCAAATATTCAAAACTTTACTAAAACTGATTATAAAGCTTGCTGTAAAGTAAATTAGCATCTTTTTCCATATATTATATAAATCTGGAGAAATATATATACATACATACATACATATATAACTTATATAATATTATAACATCCTTGGTGATGAAATCTACTTCCAATTGGAGACAGAATAACAGATAAACAAATTTATTTCCGGGGTGCAGACATGTCAGCATAACTTGGAACAATTGATAGATACCCACAAAATTTGATGTGGTGTGGGTGTGGAGATAGAGGTGATGGTGATTGGTGTATTTTTGATTTCTTTTTTTGTTAGTATTTGTTTTTTTTTTTGTCATGACTGTTTTCAATTGCTTCTAGTTCCTTTGTCAACTTTATCAACAGCATCGTCGGGGGAAGGTTGTGGATCTGTTTGGAGCAAGTTCCATTCGATTTCTGATAAAATCAAGTGGTGCAATTTGTTTTTACTGATTTTTGGTATTCCCAATTATTGAAAAAACAGCTTTACCAAGGATTTCAGGGTTCAAAATTTAGTCATTTGTAATGTGATCATAATTAACAGTTTTATAATATCCCATTTGTTATCTTAAGTGATATATAGAATTACCTCTATATAAAAATAGTTAATATGAAACTCATTTACATTAGGTCTACCATGGAACTAAAGAATTATAGTACCATCAGAAGTATTTTGAAGAAAGAACAAGGTGAAAAAATTGCTCCTTATATTTTCAAAATAAATGATACTCAAACACTGGAAGCTTATCTAAGAAAAGAAAGGATTTCTTATAAAATTTATGAAGAGGAAAGTAAGATTATAACTAATAAAAGAAATTTAACACAAAGTTATGAAGAACCTAAAAAGAAGGAAGTTTGAAGAAAAATAAACTTATTTTTTAATTATTAGTATAATATAAACGTGTGCAATAAACACTACAACAGAAAGAACAGTTTTACTAATATTATTAAGTCCTTACTTTACTTTTTAAATAATTAAATATTTGTTGTAACTCAACTTTATTGTTATTATTATTGTTTATTTTTACAAATAAGGAATTATGCATTGATTCGTATTAATATTAATTATAATTAGTGGACATTAAACAACACTGGAAAACATTAATTTTATTTTACAATATAATTATGTTTCTTTTTTAAGTTTCTCCAAGAACCTCAGGGAAACATATGTTTTTATATTGTTACCAGTATTATTTTATGTTATGTGGGAGAGCTTAGAATAATATCAGATAACATATGTAATATTTTGAGTGGAATCAGACAAAATGGCAATATACTAGCAAATAGTTTTGGGTTGTGATTTGGATTCAAGCTGAAACTTGTTAAAAGATATTTTCTTTATTTGAAAAATATTCCTTCCTTCACCTCTTCCTTTTCATTCCTCTCCTTTCTCGTTCATTTTTTTTTGTTTTTTTAATACATCAAATTTCATTCATTTATATAATTTTCAATTAATTAATTATCCATTTCTCAGAATTTTATGATTTATCAAAAAATTTCAAGTTATCATATTAGTATTCAATTTTGATTGATGAACAATTTAATGATTCAGTCTGCTGAATTGATTCACTCATTAGATGACCAATGGTGTTTGTACCTGACAGAAACTCATCAGGGTTGATATTTTTTATCCTTTTGAGTTCTGCTGAGTTAATTTCATAGAGTGAACCCTCCCTAAGTGCACCCTCCCTAAATGCATGCACTATGTATACCCTCCATAAATGCATGGCCCACCTCATCCCCAAGCTTATAGAGAGCTTATAAAATCACCCTCCA